CCATATCTTACTTTTATCATCCTTTAGATATATATCCAAATACCATAGTCACTATCAGTCTCATTCACTCTCACTTTCCACTGAGCTTGTGGAAAGTTGATAACTTTAGTATTTCTTTAAATGAGGAAAAGAAAGCCTGCTCTCCTACCACAGATAGTTCTTTTGGGCATCATCAGCACAAACTTGGTATAATATTTACATGAGAGTGATCGTTCCAGGTACACTAACCTTAAAAATCAGTTGTGAAAATCTCTGGAACCTGTCGTCATATGTGTGATTCAATTACACTTCACTAACCAATATGTAAACTGAATAAATAGAAACTTGAAATTTATTTGTTCTTCTTTTGAAGTGTGCATCAAAATTTCAAAGTCATTGCAGGCTTGAACTACAGATATAGAGGAAATCTGCATGTGTATGTGTTTACAACGTATAAAACCGGGATTATAACTTCTTCAAATGACTTTACTACGTGCCATACAGGTACAGGCAGGTGTTGTAAAAAAATTAAAGTTTGCTTCACTTTTTCATTAGTACACATTACTTTTTCTAAGAATCTTGATTATCCAGCTTATGCTGAATTCTAATTTTTCAACTAAATTTTATTTTCTTTGGGATATTCTTAGATCTCCTGGTAACAGTTAATAATCATGTAATTAAAATAATTACATGAAATCTTGCAGTTGTATGGCACATTATTTTTTCCTCTGATCCTCCTAACACTTTATTATGTGAATTGATGTTTAGAATTGATTTCTGTGATATGGAAATGAAATCCAGGTATTATCTCAAGTTTTCTTGAAGACATCCACATCATATGCAGTTACAGCAGAGGTTACCAAATTAAATAACAGAAAAATTAGAAGAAGTCAGAACTTCAAAGAGAATTTTAATCAATAGTAGGTTAATATGCCAAAAAAAAACCACACACACAGAATAGGTAAAATCAAGAAGTAGGAGAAAAGCGCGGTCGTTTGATCTTGTTATCAATCACGTATGATTACAGACCTAATTGGACTCCACTCAGTCCTATTATCATTACTTATTGCTATCATTACTACATCATAATCACAACCAAAAGCGAAAAAGTTTTAAAAAATTACAGGTTCAATCTCAAGTTGAAAATTACTTTTCTTTTAATTTTCTACGCTAAACAGAGGAGGTTGAAACATTAGGGAAAAACGATGGTGCAAGCAGTCATACCTGGCAACTTCAATAGAAGATGTCAGAGAAGCCCATACGATTCTGGCCTATTATTTTACTGACTAATTGTGCTCACGTGTATGCACTTCAATCGACCAGTGATGTCATAGAGCGAAGTAGTTTACCGTCGTTTCCTTCAATTTTGGCTCATTTTCCCTCACATAAACCATAAGTCACGCTCAATAGAATATAATTTCAACTGATGCTGACATCATACACTTCAACTGAAGAAAACATGCCCTATCTTCGAACATTTGCTCAAAACATTAGGAGCAACAACGAAAGTCTTAAGCCCTCTGAAGATACCGCTACCTAGCATGCGTGTTGATCGCTTTGCAAGTTGCAAGAACATCGTCCCTAGGTTCCTACCTCGTCAATTGTTTCCCCCATCCCCAGCCTCCCCGAACTAGTCTCTTAATCCAGTGCTGGGGAGTTTTATTACAGTTTTTATTCAGTATAATGAAGGGCTGAAACATAAACTAACAAGAGCTGCGCTTTTAGACTAGGCTAAATCCATATGTTACCTTTTACACTCAGCAAACTGATAAGGTCGTTTCTCCTGATCTCTCGAAGGATGTCCTTTAGCTTTTTAATCGTCAAATCTGGATTCGAGGCCGCAAGAAAATCAAATAATCGGATGGTAGGACTGAAGTCGCCGTATTGTCCTAGACGTCTGATGACATCCAAGTCGACGTGCAGCATTAATGCCAAACGTCTCCAATTATGTATCAATCTCGTACCACGGTCCAAGCACAAACACAGTTCTTCTATAAACTCTGGATTACGTCGTAAAATGGCAGATAATTTAGACCCTAAACGTGACAGAAAAGTAAAAAAAAATGAATATTTAATATTTAAATTTAGTAGCTTGTGTATCAAAATTGTCCAGAAGGAAAATAATGTCGATTAGCATCCTTTCAGCCATGTGACGATGCAAAATTTTCAAAGCTCAATGAAGCATGGACGCGATGTTTTATTTTTAATATAACAGTTTGATGATAACACTATTAACATATTCACCTAAAGACATACATTGCGTGGAAAAAACTCAGTCTTAATCTTTTACATTATTAGTAATCCACGCGTTTATCAAGCAGTCAGAGCTTGTCATAACTTGCATGACCCAGCGTTTCAAATGTCACAATAGCTAGTATAAACCGTCACACAAATCGAAAGCACTTCGATTGGAAAGGTTCTTGTCTGAGTTAACTCATATATTCCTCAAACTATTAAACGCAAACAATATTCTTCTGATCGCGAGCTCAACTAATTAATAGAAAGCCGTTTTCAAAACTGAGTGGTCAGTTCCTTTAAAAAGCTTCCGCTTTACTTCCGCAATTATACAAATTCTAGACATTTTAAAAGCCGGAAAGTTGGTGGCCCTCTCGCAATCATAGCTAATGTTGGTGATGTTACGTGCTTCCAATGAAGGCAGTGATTCCGAACTTAATTCGAAATTGCAAACGTTTTCTTCGCGACTTTGAATAATCGTGACTACGGCTTCGGTGTTGAAGGCTTACGAATGCGTTCAGTCATGAGCGAAAGAAGTTAAATCACTTTACAGACGGAAATTACTTACCAATCGATAGACCTCTTTTACGCAAATGGGCCATTGTAAACTTTAACCGCCTATTTTTTTCGGGTAACGTCGCTCTATTGTCAGTTCAACATCACGAACATAAGTTTGAAGATTACATGTACTTGATCGATGTCTCACCGTAGTGCATTTACATAAATCTCTCCTCGGCGAAAATACCACCACTAAGGATTTCTAAATGAAATGCACTTTAGATGTATGTTGTCAGCTGAACACCAGTCAACTGAGCGGAGAAAAGTGTACTCTCTAAACGGATCAATGTGATGAAGATACATTCAACGCTGAGCTGCACAGTACAAATTACATGGCTAATAATAATAATAACTTTGCTAGTTACATGAAAATAACTAACTAACAATAACACTAAAACAAAAAGCTATTGAGATAAGTTTTCAATCTGATTGTGTAGGGAATATCATTCCATTGCTTTGGGGCAGCGACCGAAAAGGCCCTGTCCCCATAGCTCTTCAGGCTCTTCTAATGGGGCTTGATTGTGTGGCTGTTTTGCTACGAATTATCCCGTGGGGTAGATCCTTCGCTCGTCGTTACATAAGTAAGATTTGGACGTTTCTGCATTCTGCTTGAATTGAAATTCAAGAACAAAGCTTGCACCATTTGTATCTTAATTACATTCCCTATGCTCTAAGACAGACAAATAGCTTAATCAAAACTGAATAAGAAGGAACAAATTAACTCTTCCCCTCCCCGAGGCGTCTCGATCCAGGCCCTCTTTTCCAACCTTCCAAGTATTGTGATTATAGCCTGTTGCCATGGTTTGGTATTTCTAAAGAATTACCCGCTGACTCGTGCCTAGTGCAGCTGAGTGTCACTTCACAAAGGAAGGCAGTGTAAGAGTTGCATGTAGCTACTGATGAAGAACACTTTTCATAGCATTGAAAATTACTAGAGTTTGTATTAGGGAAGTATTACAAAAGTCAAGGTATCGTATTTCGAGACTTGGTTTCGTTGCAAATTTAGCGGCTCTTTTGGGCATTAGTCGCTGATTGAAATGGTAAAATACTCTCATTTCGAATATGGAAAATTTTCCTTCAAATTTTGCTCGATGTGCGGATCAAACCTATCTTGGTATTGCTGCAAGGTGGCATTTCCTAAGATTTTGTTGAGCCACGGGACATAGACAGGTTCAGAGGGAGATCCGAGAAAGACGGAGGAATGTAAAAAAAAAATGTTATCGGAAAAAAAAGAGAAAAAGGAGAACTTACAGTGGAATTAGCCTGGTTGGAAAGATGAATTGCTGGAAGAGGGAGGAAAACGACTGACTCCTCATGATAAGCCATCCACTATCATTTTTTCTCTTCGTTTCAAAACTATCATACTTCATCTAGAGATTATGTCTTGATCTCAGACTTTTTTCAAATCAGAGATACCGAACAATAGGTCATTAACTTTCGGTATCTGCATCTCTCGTTGGGTGAAAATATAAAATTTTCATTTTTTAATTATACTTCCTCGTTACATCAATCAGAAAAAAATATTCTAAAACAAAATCCACTTCATAAGTAACATATTAAGTTAGTTTTTCTTCAACAAAATGTTCATGGTTGTGTGATGTATGATTAATTCATAAAAATGTTTCTTTGTGACGTGGTTGTAGACAAGAGAAAAACAACTAAGTTCTGTAAAGTCTTTTTTTCTTTAAAGGAAAAAATTCCACCGTTTTTTTGCTTTTGTTTTTTATTCTTTGTGTGTGAAATATTTTATGTTTGACAATTTCATAACAACTTGAAGCTTGTATCGTAATTAAGTTGTGGTTTGTTATCGAGGTGAAAAGGATGGCGTAGTCTACAGGATTTACATCGGCGAAGCTGACAAAACTATGGAGGAGAGAATCTCCTCTATCTTATTTTAGTTCGTCTGAAGAAATCATGGAGTAGAAATTGATATTGCATATTTACGGTCGTGGCATGGCCGCGGCAAAGGCAAGGTAGGTGCATCTGGCAGAATATACATGTATTGATGCCCATCAAGCCTATTTTGCAAACCCAGACTGGCTCGATTTACGACAACAATATTCACGATTCTCATTTTGCCTTTACACTTGATAATGACGTGAAGCAACGCCAATTAAAATTAACATTTTAGTTTACATATTTTAATAACATTGTAACGTTGAAATTTGTCATCAACTTCTAATTATGATGATGATTATTTATAATGATGATTATTTTCACTTCTGCTCAAGTAGTGTTCATTACTGCGAAGATCGCTTTCATATTCACGTCTTTATCCGCAGTTCAAATATATGACTTTCATATATTCACAGTCGATGATAATATCAATAAGGATAAAGGCTACTCGAGGTAAGGGATCCTTCATTTATGTGCAAAATTTTAATGCAAAAATGAACGTGTTGGACAATTTACTGCATCTTTCATTCAAACTTCGCCTCTGCTAAGCGGTTCATTATTGCCTTATTTTAATCATTTATTTAACGATTTGTTAAACACGTTTTCTCAGCGCTTTTACTTTTTCCAACTGATTGCTCAATTTAACTAACGAAGATAAAAGAAAGGAAATATTTCGTCTTCGGGGCATTTATCATAATAATCACTTAATGTTGGTCAGTTTCTCTTGTTAAGAGTAATCAACAATGTGGGTTTTTGGTTTGTCATGCTGAGAACTGGTCTTAATTTGGGCAATGTCAACTTGCCAACATAATTGAAGGTTAATCTCTGCACGATAATAAAAAGTAAAATAGGATCTAAAATTAAAGATCTTCCTTTTTCGAAAAAAAGTTAAAATTGGCTGATTACAGCCATTCACCCTGACAAAAATCTAACAGGGTTCTTCCTAAGTTTCGACTGACTGATACACATGTATAGAGGTCCATGGAAGGACAGATCTAGCGAGTGTCACTGCATTGATTACGTGTTCACGAAAGCCCATCGATCAATCGATAGATTGTTTTGCTTCCTAACAACGTCGAAGATCATTTTTTCAAAATCTTAACTCAGTGCATGAGATATCCATTCAGTCTTTTTCTTCTTCTTTTTCTTCCTTTTCCAACTTTTTTGCGCACTCTGCAGCAAGTGTCATTTCTTCCTCGGCCTCGCTGTTTCTTCCGAGACTACGCAGAGCAATTGACATGTCGTGGTACGTGTGAATCAATTGATGATGTGTGTCTGATACTTCTTCTTGTAAATCAATTACCTACTTCAGATATTTAAGGGCACTATAAGGGAGAGCATCATTTAATGTTAATCTGCTTCACTTTTACGTCTCATGGAAGAATCACTGATAAAGACGTATGAGAACAGTTTGTTAAATATTCAGCATGGCTGTAATCCACCTAAAACGTAAATCCTAATAGAGGATAATGATATCTTTCGTCTGAAAAATGGATATTTAAGGTAACGATATGCTTTATTTAGCATCTCAATCATTCAACGGAACACATTGTACTAAGCCACTTTCCTAACATGGCATCAGGCTTGAGAATAATGAATATAGGAATCATTAATGGGATATTTGGGCATAAATAGCAAAACTTCAACTCATATTACCTTGGGTAATCTTCTTTCGCGCTCAAAGCCACTCCCAAATCATGAAGAGACCTCGCAGTTTCCTGATGGTGCCCCAGCAGTTGCTTTCGCATTTCAACTGATTTACCGATATATTTAACAGCATTGTCGTAGTCACCCAAGGCGTGGTAACTGTTGCCAATCCAGTCGAGTGTTGTTGCCGTGAAAGGATGCTCCCCGAGGTTCTGTTCATAGAGAGGAAGCACATAGCAGAGTCTTGTTTGGATAGCACACATGTGTTTCCTTTGCACCATCAGAGAAGCTGAAACGAAACACACGTAAATCAGAAGAAAAATTCAAAAAGGGCTCAACCTTGTCGGATTGACCTCGCTTTTAATAAATATATGTGTGGTTTTTTTTTTACCAAGATCTCTGAGATCGACCTACTCGTAAATTTCCTTTATGAAGTACCGTAAAGCTCATGCAAGGTCCTTTTTGAGATCCTAACTAAACTTGCTTATAATAAATAGGTGAGAAAGCCAACATGACTGATTGTAATATATCCTCACTGGAGAGTGTCCTTCCATGAAAATAAAATATAGGAGAGTAAGAAATGTACCATTTTTTCCCGACCTGCTATATCATTATAACACGCTCCTAACATGACTTTGTCCTGGGTCTCATCTGATTTTTTTTCTCTCTTTGTTCTTAATTCTATGGCCTCGTTAAGATAGCAATATCCTTCGTCAACGCGTCCCTCTCGAACACAACAGAATCCAAGCTTACTCAAGCAGTGGGCACGCGTAGCTTCATTCACGTCAGTAAGCACTGAGTGGATTTGCTTAGCACGTGCCAAAAATCTCTTCGCTTGATATAACGCTCTAGGGCAAATGTACGGTTTGCATGTGCAGCTTAAAACTATTTTAACGCCAATGTTTGTCAAGCAAGCACTCAATAGATGCCTGTCATGTTGACATCGATACGCAAACTTGCAAAAGAGGGAAACAAACTCTTGTTTTCGCATCATCTTTGCGAGAAATACTGCGGCTTCGTTGAAAGCAGTAACGCAGTGCTCCCTCACGGTTTGTTCAAGCTCAGGATGATCATTTCCACACCAAGCCATAGCCTCTCGAACGTTGTCCTTTTCACATCTGTAGCGATTAATTGCAGACTTCTTATCCGCACTCAAAAATCTTTTGCAAAGGGAAACAATCAAATCACTGTAGTGACGTAAGAAGACTGATTTGGCATCTTTGTGTTCAGGCATTGATGAAAAAAAGTTTCTTATAAAAGGATGTAGAGAGTAAAGACAGTTATTTCTGTCAAAGTTTAGGAGGCTGCTTTGTTTCAAGCAACTTAGAGACATCTGCAGATCACCTTCAACTGAAGACTTGAAGCACGCGTCAAATTGTTCTTCCGTAAATCCGTTCGGAAATGTTGAGAACATTACAAATATCTTCTGGTTCTCGTCACTGAAGCGATTAAAACAGATCTGTAGACACTTGTAGATGCGTTCCTCACTCGCTAGAAAGTCAGGGCTCAGTAGTTTACGAAGAGTTTGAGGTGAACATGTGGTAAGTCTTTGGGTGAACCTCTCTGGATTTTCTCTTCTAAGAATTGAGCGAACAGTACAGATAATAAGAGGAATGCCGCCACAAACTCTGACCAGCTCATTTATCAAGCCTTCGTCTAGTCTGTCGTCACACTTTTTGAACAAAGTAGCTGAATCATTGTCTTTCAGAGGCTCTAAATCAATCAGCTCAATAGGGAAAGACACACTGAAATCATAGAATTCTCTAGATGTTAGAACAAGATGAATGGTTGGGCATTTTCCTATGTCTTTTAGAAATGACAAAAATTCATCCTTTGTAAATTTTCCGCGCATTTTGGTGCAATAGTTTTTGGAGTTCAGCCCTTGCAGGTATTTATCGTTGCGAACTTGAGTCTCGAGGTGAAGTAAGTTGTCAATGTTTTCGATAAGAAGCACCGCTGACTTTGCTTTTAAGGCACGTATGCGACGAGTTGCCTCAGTGATAGTATATTCGCTGGGAACAAAACCTAAAGCTTCGATGATATCGCTTGCCAAGTCTTCTACGCAAGTGACACCTCTTGGATTAACATAAGCGATGAACTTTCCCTCGCTGATCAACCGATGGGCGACTTCTATTACCATAGAGGTTTTCCCATATCCAGGTGGCGCCACAATTTCAACCACCTTGTTTGAAGACAAGGCAGTTATGATCCTTTCGCAGGTTTCGTTACGGCCCACTAAATCTATTTGATCAGGCAATGTTCCACAGTGACCTGAATGTTCCCTTACGTCTGCAGCTACTGAAATGTAGAACAGTTTTTTGAGACTGGAATACTTAGGTAAAATAATCTTTTTCTACCTAACCATATCTATAGGGCACCAGATGTACAGCAAATCGGTCCTCTAATTCACAGCATTTCTCGCCAAAATAAGCTGTAGCCTAGTGCACGGTAGAGCTCAGGTAACATTTTTTTTTGGACAACTATTGGAAAATCTCTCTGTAAGCAATGGCTAACACTGCGAAGTTCATCCTAAATATTATGCTTTCTTTATCAATCTTAACAAGACATTTCATTGTTACTAAATTGGATCATGCACCTTAAACAGTAAAATCAGTGTTTTCTACTTACCTTCCTTTGGAAGAGAAACCTTCTCCTTCAATTTGTAGCTGGTGGATAAATTCTGACCTGTGGGATCAGGCATTCTGAAACTGTCTTGTGGTGAACAACCAAATCGCTCCAAAGTTGATTCTGGAAAAAACGATAAACAGAAACTGCGATTAGGGTGCACAATAATGGCAAGTACGATTAAATGGATGCTTATCACACTCGGCAGCTCTTCACGAAGCAAGAGATCGTGGTGTAGACTGGCATAAGTAGCAATAGCAAATAGTTTTCGGACCCATTGAATTAATCGTTTATTTGTGTAATTAACAATTGAGTGGGGATGGCGCAGTGGTGATAGTGCTTGGCTCCCACCGCTGTGGCCTGGATCTGGCCCGGATTCCCGGAATTCCAGATCTGGCTTCATATCTCCGGGTAAAAATTTTTGTTGGTTGTCCTCCTTGCTCCGAGGATTTTCTCTGGGTCCCTCCACAAAAACTAACATTCCAAATTCCATTTCGACCAGGAAATAGAGGACAGGAAGAGCCATCGAGTGGAATGTCCACTGCTAAATTACTGTTACTATGATTATCATTATATGTAAAACGAACCATTCTCAAAGTGATTACTCACCAACTGTGTCTGGAAATTGCTTTGATATAATCTGAATAGCATCGTTACGCTGGATCCTGTCCAACGCATTTGCGACGTCACTTAATGTTTTCTCCGGTAAGTTAACGGCCACCCATTGAATAACTTCCTTGGTGGGACTTTTCCGCTTTTGTTCGGTCGCACCAAATTCCTGACGCACATCATCGGGCACGTTCAGTTTGCTGGCGAGATGGATCCAGTTTTTAACGCCTGGTACTTCTTCGCGGTTAAGGTTTTCTGCCATTGTTTCTACAAGTTCCGGTTTTTGTGCCATTACGTCCTTCAGAAATACTTCATCTACAAAGGAAAAAACATCGGTAAATCGAAAACTTTACACTGTTATTTCACTTATCTTTTAGTTCATCGACTCACAAATGCCAAGAACTTTTAAGATCTTGGCATTTATGTTTCAAATCAAAATCTTGATTAAAAT